CGACGTGGCCCTTCTGGCACGCCGTGTACAGTGGCGTGGCGCCTCTGGCCTCGGCTTGGTTGACCGCCGCGCCAGCCTGCTGAAGCACTTGGGCGCACTCGAGGTGGCCTTCCGAGCACGCAATGAGCAGCGCCGACGCGCCGCCGCTGCTACCACCGCCGCCGCCCGTCGTCGCCCCGACGCTCGCGCCGGCCCCAAGCAGCAGCCGCACCGCCTCGGCCTGCCCGTGCCGAGCCGCCCAAGTCAGCAGCGTGTCCTGCCTCTCGGTGCCGTGCCGCGCGTCAAGACTGCCGCGCGTCCGCCGGCCGGAGAGGTGGGCGCGCAGCGAGGCGATGTCGGCGAGCAGCGTGGCGGGCGGGGTCGCGGCGGGCGCCATCACCGAGTCGAGACGCGGCGGCTACGTCAGAGAGGACGGTGTGTCGCACGGCGCCCGCCAGCGGACGGCTCTCTCGCGGCGCCCGCCAGCTTGGGCGGCGTCCTTCGGCGGCCCGCGCGCCGACGACGACCCGGCCGAGGTGTTGGGGCTTTGCTCGAGCGCCGTCGGTGTGGCAATTTTACGAATGTCTTGGCTCAAGGCTTGCAGTAATAATAATACAGACGCGCATCACAAGTAGCCGCACGACACGCACACACCCACACCGCACCGCACTCCGCGCCCGCGCGCCCCCCCGCCCCGCCTAGGTTGGAAGGAGATGGGGAGATGGAACAAACAGCCCGAGGAAAGAAAGGATGAGACACGTATGGGAGGTTGAATTTGTGCACCACGCGGCCCGGCGTTTCTCACTTTCCAGGACAGCCCCGCCCTTGTGAGGCAGGAAAGTGGCGGCTACCCCGTACGCCCAGCCTGCTAAGACCCCATCGCCGACCGTCCAGCCCCTCCCTTCGCCTTCTAGTGAGTTTTTTAGCAATACCAAACAACTCTAACACTCACACGCTGCCGCGCGCGACTTTGCGCGCGAGGCGGCGCAGCTTGAGAACGGCGGTGGGCGAGAAGCCGCCGCCGAACGTCTCGTGGAGCAGCAGGTTGAAGTTGTTGCGCTTGACAAAGATCGCGTCGTGGTAGAAGTTGTTGTTGCCTGTACTCCGCCACATCGAAAGTGGGAGCGAAAACTCAGCCTTGAGTTCTCAGCGCCCTCACGGCCCGCCAATGGCAAACCCGACTCCCTCCATCCGTGTGGCGCCGCCCGATGGTGCCGGGAACCCTAATTCCGGAGCGATTTCCCCTAGGGTTAGCGCATAAAAAGCCGGGCCCCTTAGCTCCGGCTAGGGCTAAGGGGCCTCCGCAGCCGACCGCGAGGAAGGGCCGACTTTGGGTTAGCATAGCGGGCCGATAAGGCCGCCCACACCCGCGGGGATGGTTGTGTGGGTTGCCTCCTCGACTCGGACGGCCGCCTCAGAGGGCGGGAATGCTTCCTCTCGCCCTCTCACCCGCGGGAGATGGCCGAGTCCACGGAGCCGCACGCTGCCTCTCCTTGGACGCAAGGCTCCGACTTCTATAGAGAAAACCCCATCTGCACCAGCGTTTTAAAGTGAAATCGTCAAGAGAAATCGATGCCCCGGGCTGGGCTTTGGGGTAGGCAGCCACCCTTTCGAAGGTGAGGCGTATCTGCCGACCTGTGAAGACGCTTTACTTGCGAGCAGTGCGTGGACCAGATGGCGCGAGGGCACCGCAACATGGCTAAGGAGGCAGCCTGGCAGGGAAGCTTCTGCTCCGAGACGGCCGCTCAGGACCGCAAAATGGTGTTCCTGAAGGTTGTGTTAGTCGGGCTGGCCAGTCCCCGGGGCCTGACGGTCCAATGTATCCCTCAAGAGTACTTCTCCCCTACCCCACCCTGCCACTTTAGATGTGTCGGACCATACAAGGGCGACGAGATTTTTAATTTACCCGGTACTCTTCATGGCCGCGGCCTGGGTCGCTGCTTCTCTCGCGCTCGTAAGATCGCCGCCCGCCGCCGTGCACGCCGGCCGCTCCCGCTCGGCCCGCTCGTCGTTCTGCGCGCTGGCGGCGCACGAGGATGATGCGCGTGGCGGCTGGCAGGGCGAGCGGTGGGAGGGCGACGAGGTCAGCCGACCGCTCGGCTGCATGGAGCGGCTGCTGAACGGGCGGCGCTCGTGGAGCGGTGCGATGACGACGGCGCACGTAAGCGTGGCGCTCCTCCGCGGACCGCCGCCCACCGAGGCCGAGCTGCTCCACGGCCTCGCTCGCGTCTTCCGGCGCCACCCGCTGCTGCGATCGTGCGTGCGCGGCAAGTCCAACCACCACATCCCGGACGCGGCGCCGTACCCGATGCACTCCAACTACATCGACCGCGCCTTTCACTACGGCGCCGAGCTCTACCGGCCCGAGCCAAACACCGACCTGCAGCGCTTCGAGCCCTCGCCGCTGCCTCCGGAGGAGATGGCGCGCCGCGCGCTGCGCGTGGCCAGCGTGGCAGAGAGGAGCGGAACGGCGCTCGAGGAGGCGTGGCGCGGAGGCTTCGACGCGGCGATGGACGAGTCGGTCTTTGACGAGGACAGCGACGGCCCACTCTGCCGCTTCACCCTCTACGCCTCCTCCTCCTCGGCGGCGCTGCTCTACCAGGCGAACCACGCAATCTCGGACCAGCTCTCCTTCAACCTCCTCCTCGCCGAGCTGCTCGAGGCCCGAGATCGAGCCGAGATCGAGCCGAGACCTGATTTGAGCCCAGATCTGGGCCGAGATAGAGCCGAGGCGTGAGCTGAGGCGTCGCCGACACACCACAGCTCGCCGCCGCCTCGCCTGCCAGATGCCATGACACAAATGGCGCACCACAGCTCGCCGCCGCCTCGCCTGCCAGATGCCATGACACAAATGGCGCACCACAGCTCGCCGCCGCCTCGCCTGCCAGATGTCATGACACAAATGGCGCACCACAGCTCGCCGCCGCCTCGCCTGCCAGATGCCATGACACAAATGGCGCACCACAGCTCGCCGCCGCCTCGCCTGCCAGATGCCATGACACAAATGGCGCACCACAGCTCGCCGCCGCCTCGCCTGCCGGCGCTGGTAGGTCATGGACTCCTCACTTCGCTCGAGCTGCCACAGGCGATCGCCGCGTCGCGAGCTGGCGCGCCGCTTCCGCCGCCGTCCAGCTTGCCGCTGCCTCAGTCCGTTGAGGGGGCCCTTCTCGGCACAGAACAGCGGCAGAACGAGGAGATCAAGTCTCGGCTGTAGCTCCCCGTCGGGCGGCGAATCGCGACCCCGTCGACTGCTCCACGAGAATAGGAGATCAAGTCTCGGCTCGAGCTCATCGTTGGGCGGTTCGTCGACGGCGCCCGGCTGCCGTTCGAGTCCCTCCCCTCGTGGGTGTCTCGCACCCCCGGCAGAGGCAGAGGCGGCACGGTGGTGGCTCTGAGTCGTTGTGACTCGTGCTGGGTCTCCTGAGTGATAGGCGCCGCGGACTCTGCCCGCGTGGGAGGCTGGCCGTGTGGGCGTTTCGACGGCCAAGTATGCGCTCTGGCAGGCGGCGGCGGCGCTCTCTCTCTCTCTCTCTCTCTCTCTCTCTCTCTCTCTCTCTCTCTCTCTCTCTCTCTCTCTCTCTCTCTCTCTCTCTCTCTCTCTCTCTCTCTCTCTCTCTCTCTCTCTCTCTCTCTCTCGCTCGTTCCCTCTCTCTCTCTTCTCTCTCTCTCTCCTCGCCTCGTGACTAGTGGCTGGTAGTACTACCCACTCCGTAATCAGACAGCACTCCGAGACGGGCGTGTGGCAGGCGGCGGCGTCGGGCGCGAGGGTGTTGCCTCGCTGGGCGCCGGCTGCGGCGGAGCTGGAGGAGGGGGGGAGGGCGGCGGCGTGGGAGGCGAGGGCGAGGCGGACGAGGAGCACGTTCCGGACCGTCGACGCCGCGACCCTGACCAGCCTCGTCGCGGCGTGCCGCGCGCAGGTCTGCTCACCCACGCGCACTGGGCCTTGCACTTTGAATGCCGGGGCCAGCTCCTGCCCGCGTGTCCGGGCGTGGAGACGCGAGGGACTAGCCTGGCCCTTGCCCCACCACCTCGTGTGTGTGGAGACGACTACCTTACCTCACCCTACCTCACCCTACCCTACCTCACCCTACCCTACCTTACCCTACCTTCCCTTCCCTTACCCTACCTTCCCTGGCGCAGGGCGTGACGGTGTCGGGCGCGCTCTGCGCGGCGGCGGTGTTGGGCGCGAGCGACGCGATGGGCAGTCGTGCGGAGGCGGAGGCGGAGGGGGGGGCGGAGGCGGAGGCGGAGGGGGAGGCGGAGGCGGAGGCGGAGGGGGAGCGGTACAAGCTGCTGCAGGCGCTCGACATGCGGCGCCTTGCCTTCCGAGCAGGCGTGGGCTTGGCGCTGCGGGTGGTGCGGCTCTGCGGCTCGCCTCTCTCACCCTCCTCCTCCTCCTCCTCCTCACCCACAGGCGAGGCTGGCGCTGCGGGCGCGAGAGACGATTGGTCGGGGGAGACAGTGGTCGCAGGCTCTCTTGCCCGCTCGGCTTGTACTCTCTCGAGGCGCTGCCGCCCGAGATTGCCCGAGATTGCGCGAGATTAGGCACCGGCTCGCTCGACTTGCTGCTCGACCTACCTCCCGCTGCCGGAGAGGCGGTGCGGCGGAGCGGAGATCTGACGGCGATGTGGGGCGCGGCGCAGGAGCGCCACCGCCAGACACACGCTGCACACGCTGCCTCTGATGTATTT